CTCTATATAAATGATTATATTGTTACCTTAAAAATCAAAAAACGATATCTGATGTTTTAAATAATTATAATGATAGAAATTAAAATGTTTAAGAAAATAAATTTAAAAATAAAGTTATCGTTATATTAAAAAACAATATATTATATCAATTTAGTATACGAATTACTCTACCAAATTTAACAATAAAGTTATTGTTATATTAAAAAAAAACATATATTTGTAAAGATTTCATCTATATAGGTGTTTCTACGCAACGAGCGGACATTCGTCTAGTATACTTATAAAAGATGCATTTTTACTTGCACCACATGCATTTGAAACCTCTATATCTTTTCAATTTCTTTATAATAATTATTATAAATTAGTTAATAATGCTAAATTAATACAAAAATTAAATTCTAATTATAAATTAACTTAACTACAATATTAAAATATCATATTTTACTTCTATTTATAAAATTATGACTCTAACTTTTTAACATATTATAGTTAACTTATTAGTTTAGATATATTGTCGAACAATTGTCATTTTAAAATCACAAATTTTGTATAATTTATGATTTCATGCAAAATAGTTAAATTATTAATTTCAATATAATGTGAACAGTTAACTTAAATTAAAATTTCAGTTAAACTTGAAAAAAACCGAAAAACTATTTTATAAATAGTTAAAAATTATAAATTATAGTGTTAAACCTAAACTGTAATCCTAAATTAACAAAAAAAAAAAAAAAAAACGTGAAACTTTTTTTTATAATCATTAAAAATTTTCAAATAAATAGCTTAAAAATAACTTACAATAAGAATAGTTAAAAATAATATTATATAAAAAAGTTATAGTTTTATCTTTAAAAACAAAAATACAATGTTTGTTAGTTTAAATACTTACAATCAAATAAACTAACAATATTCATTAAATAAATTTTAAAAAAGTTAAATTTCTGAAACCATATTAAAATAATTTAGAGTTTCAAAATACATTATTTTAAATAACTTACATTAAAAATAGTTAAAAGTAACATTATATATAAAAATTATATAGTTACATTTGAAAACAAAAACAATGTTTGATGTTTTAAATAATTACAATAATAAAAATTAAGATCTTAAGCAAATAATTTGTTTTTTTTAAATTAATTAATCATAATAACAACTATAAATATCATTAAACTATATATTATATTTAATTTTATTAATGAGTAACATGCAGATAAATGTTATTAAGATAACAGAAATTATATAATTTTAAAAGATATCTATATTATCATATAATTCAAAACAAACAATGTTTATACCAACTTATTATAGGATTTGTGAAGATGTAACAACGACGTCATTGATATATTTAAAAAATATATATTTTATAAACATTTTAATATATTGTTGTATTTTACACAACGTATGAGTCTTAGTGAAATTAAATGAAAAAAAAAAACTAGAATCATTAATGAAATACAGAAAATGATATTTAATTTTTAAGTAATAAAATTTTATTATATTTGTCGATATTTCTAATTAATAATTAAGTGCAAAAATAAATTAAGCAAGAATCATAAAAGCAAATCTACAATATAATCAAATCGTGTACTTGTAGTTTGACCAAGGCATTGGCAATTAATGAAAGCTTTAACCGATGAAATAAACAATGACAAAAATTGTAAAGATAAAATTACAAAAATGGTCCCTATGATTTGTTAAAAGTCACAAAGTCAGTCCCTGTTAATTTTTTTTGATGAATATGGTCCCTGTGGTTTCCAAAACTTGCATCAATGGCTCTTTTTGCTGACGCCGTTACTGTTCATCCGTTAATGTAAGGGTATTTTGGTCTTTTCAAGTACGAGGGACTGGGTTTGTGATTATGGGTAAACCATAGGGACCATTTATGTATTTTTTTTCTATATTTTATGTTTATGAGTTTGTGACTTTTCCACCCATTTACTTTTTAAAATATCACTTTGAACTTTGAAAAATGTTACTTTCACCCCTCTATTTTCTAAATTTTCGTGTTTAACCCCGTATTATATATAATTTGTTTTTTATTAATACCTTTTGTTCGCTAACCTAAAAAAACTATTTTTACGTGTTTATTTTCATATATTTGTCGGTATAATTCAAGGTGATCAACGTTTCGATTATAATTTAGAACTTTCTTTCGTTATTTTTTTAAAGTTACATGGTTTTTTTTTATAAAATTGTCGTTTTAAATTCGAGTTTATTTTCGACGTAGTTTAACTTTATGTACGTTTCCTACGTATGAGACATGTCATATATAATAACTTTCGTTTGTTAATTTTAAAAAATATATTATATTCGAGATTGTCTATGTTTTGATGTATTTTTTATACATATTGTGCTTAATTTTATATATATTCCTATGTATCATTCGGGTCATATATAATAACTTTCGTTTGTTAGCTTAAAAAAATGTAGTATATTCGAGTTTGTCTATGTTTCGACCTAACTTTTGTTTCATGTTTTTTACGTATCAATATAGATTCGAGTTCGTCTATATTTCAACGTAATTTTTTTTATGTTTCGTGCTTATTTTTATGTACGTGTTTTTTTCATTCATGTTTTTTTACGTCAAAATGCAACTTTTATTACTATAATCACCAAAATTCAATTTACAAAATTCAAGCTTATAATTATGCTTTTATCTATTATATGTGAACAAACTTATACGTAGGAACGTACATAAAATAAGCACCAAAACGTACAAAAAAAAAATTAAATCAAAACATAAAAAATAAAGAAAAAGAAAAAAACTCAAATTTATATCAGCACGTGCATAAAAATAAGTAAGATTTTTTTAAGTTAACGAACGAAAGTTTAAATAATAAAAAATATATAATATGTGACCCTAATCATAAGTAGGAAACGTTCAGAAAGTAAAGCACGGAAACGTTAAAAAAATATGTTTTGCAAAACGTTTTGGTGCTTATTTTATGTATGTTTCTACGTATAAGTTTGTTCACATATAATAGATAAAAGCGTAATTATAAGTTTCGATTTTGTAAGTTGAATTTTGGTGATTATAGTCATAAAAGTTGCATTTCGACGTAAAAAACATGAATGAAAAAAACACATACATAAAAATAAGCACGAAACATAAAAAAATTACGTCGAAATATAGACGAACTCGAATCTATATTGATACGTAAAAAACATGAAACAAAATTTAGGTTGAAACATAGACAAACTCGAATATACTACATTTTTTTAAGCTAACAAACAAAAGTTATTATATATGACCCAAATGATACGTAGGAATGTATATAAAAGTAAGCACAAAATGTATAAAAAATACATCAAAACATAGACAATCTCGAATATAATATATTTTTTTAAATTAACAAACGAAAGTTATTATATATGACCCGTCTCATACGTAGGAAACGTACATAAAAAAAAAAAAAAAACTACATCGAAAAATAAGCTTGAATTTAATCCGACAATTTTATAAAAAAAACCATGTAACTTTAAAAAAAATAACGAAAGAAAGTTCTAAATTATAATCGAAACGTTGATCACCTTGAATTATACCGACAAATATATGAAAATAAACACGTAAAAATAGTTTTTTTAGGTTAGCGAACAAAAGGTATTAATAAAAAACAAATTATATATAATACGAGGTTAAACACGAAAATTTAGAAAATAAAGAGGTGAAAGTAACATTTTTCAAAGTTCAAAGTGAAGTATTCAAAGTGATATTTTAAAAAGTAAATGGGTGGAAAAGTCACAAACTCATAAACATAAAATATAGAAAAAAATACATAAATGGTCCCTATGGTTTACCCATAATCACAAACCCAGTCCCTCGTACTTGAAAAGACCAAAATACCCTTACACTAACGGATGAACAGTAACGGCGTCAGCAAAAAGGGCCATTGATGCAAGTTTTGAAAACCACAGGGATCATGTTCGTCAAAAAAAATTAGCAGGGACTAACTTTGTGACTTTTGGCAAACCATAGGGACCATTTTTGTAATTTTGTCAATTGTAAATTAAGTCAAGGTTAAATTTCGACAACCCACATAAATCAAAGGGTGAAATTTGTAATACTCGAAAAAAAGAAAAAGAAAGCTGGAAATCAAAGTCACGAAGATTAAAAAACAAAAGGTTTATGGAGAGAGAGAGAGAGAGAGAGAGAGAGAGAGCGTTCTTGAGGGGTTTGTTCTTCGAGTCTTGACCTTTCAAGACACAACATCTTTCTTTTGATTCTTTCGTTTCAATACACATCTATTCAGGGATATACAGACTTCACCACATACGGTTGATTAATTTAGGGTTTAATGTGTGTGGGTGTGTGTCAGAGAGAGATAGACAAAAAGAGAAGGGTAAAGACCAGAGAGAGAGAGAGAGATTCAATTTATTGATACATCAAGAGAGCTTATCTTATCATTATCATCATCATCATCAACTTCATCTTCATCTTCATCATCAATTCTCAATAACCGAACCCCATTTACACCTCAAGGAGGCTGAATGAGTATAAGTAAAAGAGAATTGCGAAGGAAGTAAACAAGAGTCAGTTCATTGATTCATCAGCAATCGGCTTAAATATATATCATTCAAATCAACCCCAATCAACAACCTTTTACTCATTTCGATATATTCACAGGTAGTGTGTATGTGTGGGTTTTTTGCTTTTCTTAGTTGCGTGCAGTCAAACATGGGTTTTCGTTAGTTTGTTGATTTGGGTTTTTGCAAAATTAGATGTTCATGAGAATTCTGAACGGCAAGCCGTTCAATTGATCAATGTGTTTTTGGTGGAAGTATATGTATATGGAGATAGAGTGTGTGCTATGGTTTTTGCCTCTTCATCTTTGCGCAAATCAAATTGGGTTTTCAATTTCAATTGTTTCTTGAAACGGGTTTCTCGAACTGATTTCACCAATAAGGTTTTTTGTGCGAAAGCGTGAAAAAAACTTGAATTTTGTTTTACCCTTTTGATCTGGGAATTGGGATTCCTCCTAAATCACAGTGTGTGTGAAAAAATGGCTAACAACAACAATAGCAAGAACGAAATACCACCAACTAAGGAGCTCTTAAAGAAGATCCATGATTTAGAACAAAGCCACGCTCATCTCAAACAAGAAATGTCAAAGCTAAAAATCTCCGATGACCAACAAAAATCCGAACGTCAAAGGTCCAGTTCAGTATCTCCACGCCGCCCTCGCCGGAAACACATGGGTGGTGCAAGCGGGATGTTCGAGGGCGGCGCTGTAGCCGCCTTCAAGATGGGTTCAGCATCTTTCCGCCATTCCTCACCATTAAGAAGAGAAACTCGCAGCGTTGACGTTAGCTACAGCAACGATCACAACCATAACACCTCCGTCACATCCGCCGCCGACGGCCCTTCAGCTGTGAAGCTAACGGAAACACAATACTTGAATATATTACAATCAATGGGTCAATCTGTGCATATATTCGATCTCAACGGCCACATAATCTACTGGTGAGTCAAGGATTTCAATTTCTTCTTCCAATTTTTATTCAATCTCATGATCATATCATTATGATACAGGAATCGTATGGCTGAAAATCTGTATGGATACACATCTTCTGAAGCTTTAGGGAAAACAGCCCATGAGCTTCTAGTAGATTCCAACGATTACACATTAGCTGAAGCTATTTTACAACGAACAGCAAAAGGGGAAAGCTGGTCTGGTCAATTTCCAGTTAAAAACAAATTAGGGGAAAAATTTATCGTTATGGCTGCAAATACACCATTTCGTGATGAAAATGGAACCCTAATTGGTGTTATATGTGTATCAAGTGATACACGCCCCTATCAAGAAATGAAGCCATTAGCAACCATCAGTGCTCCAAGAAGAATCGCTTCAGCTAAACTTGGACTCGATCCTCAACAACCTTTACAGACTGCAATCGCCTCAAAGATTTCAAATCTGGTCAGTACTTATTCACTCAATGAATATTGTGAAATTTCTTTCTTAGACGGTTTATTCCATCTTGACTTATGTTATGTATACAACAACAACCCCTTCCTTATTCCAAGTTATTATGCTGTGAAATGTCTAAAATACCCTTTGTGAAAAAAAAAAAAAAACAAACAGGCCACAAAAGTTAGCAACAAGGTGAAGTCAAAAATGAAACCCGGAGAAAACTTCACGGATCATGAAGACTCGGATCACAAAGAAGATGGATATTCAAGTGGGGCAAGTACTCCAAGAGGCGATCTTCCTCAATCACCATTTGCAGGAGGATTCTCTTCAAAAGACCAAATTACCGGAAAGCCCTTGGGAGATTCAGGTGATGAGGGTGAAAACAAGCCCGGGATCCACAAGCTTCTATCTTCAAAAGCGGAAGCATGGATGGGCAAAAAGGGAATTACATGGCCATGGAAAGGAAACGATAACAGAGAAGGCGGGTCGGATCCAAAAACGGGTCGTTTTGGTTTGCATTGGTTACATAATAATAATGATCAAGAACATGAATCTGGTCAACAAACAAAAGTAGAAAGTCAACCGTGGGAAAATACGAATCGAAATGAGGCTTCAGGGTCATGGTCTTCTTCTTTTAATGTTAATAGTACAAGTAGTGCAAGTAGTTGTGGAAGCACAAATAGTAGTGCTATAAATAAAGTGGATGTGGACACTGATAGCTTGGATTATGAAATATTATGGGAAGATTTAATAATTGGTGAACAAATCGGACAAGGTATATAATAATAGAATGTTTTTAATTATTACTTTTTGTTAAAGGGTAACAAATAGTGGAACATTTGTGCAAAAATTATCATCATATTATCGATTGAAGTATTATTTTATTGAAATTTTTTGCATTTCTAATTTTTTACTACTTTGACAGGTTCATGTGGGACGGTATATCATGCATTGTGGTATGGATCGGTATGTTCTTTATCAATATTGCTATAATTACCATTTTAGGTCCTAATGTTTTTTGTTTGTTGAAGGGTATTTTAGGCATTTGACGACTACTAAGTGTTGCTATTATTAAAAGTAGTTCAAATGAGAATAATGGGAAATATGTCGTTGCAATAAAATATTTATTTGGATGATGTGATCATTATTATTATTATTTTGTAATTGAAGGGTATTATAGACATTTAACACATGTTTATGAATGCAGGATGTTGCTGTCAAGGTTTTCTCAAGACAAGAATATTCAGACGATGTGATATTATCATTTCGACAGGAGGTAATTTTCCCTCAAATAATATCAGAATAAAAGAATTTTTGGGT